GGCTCTTTTGTCAGGTCATAAAGCCCTTCCATCTACGACCAAATGCAAAAGAATTTCCTGACGATTTGTATTACCATAAGGTGAATCAGACGAAATCTAAATTTTTCTTAGGATTTCTATGTTGTGGATTCGTGGGAAATCTCGGAAGTGAACGCAACTCAATTGGCTGATACTTTTATTATGTGTGGAGTACTGTATGGGCTACAAAATGCAACCACTCGTGATTCTCGCATCAGTTTCGCCTACGATCTGTTCAGGTGTGCTTCCCTTTTTTTTGTAAGGAAAAAAGTTTTTTCAATTCTCGAAGTGTTAAGCGCATATTCTTGGAATAAAAGGTCCGACAGTGTGATTCTGACTTTTGGTGAGGACCTTCCAAGAACACATTTTTTCCCAGCATTTTTAGTTGAAATTAAGATCAATGGTTTAAAGTCTGCAACACATACATATACTTTTGAGAAAGGAAAACTTTAGTTTCTTAGTTTTTTAACGTGTTTCCTGAGAAATTTTGCATGAATTTTCCAGAAACGAGACGATTCCCGGACAGGTGGCATGGTACAACCCGTACCAAGGCCTTACAATGCTGCACTATAATCCTGTTGATAGTCGATTGTATTTCTTCGATGATCGTCGTCTTCTCAGCGTTAACGTACGTATGGATGAGGAGGAGCCATACTACGATGATTAATAAACAATCACATTTGTTTAGAAATAATTTAAACAAAGTGAATAGGCACTGATTGTATGAGACTTTAATGCTGAACACTGCTATCATTCTATCGATTGAATTTTGTATTATTTTATATAAATTTGTAAATGAAATTTGTATTCCTGAGATTGCGAAGTGTAAGTGTAAGTGCAGGGCATTGAACGTATCTCGCCATAAAATTACCTACGACCGGGCGCCATAGAAATGCGGAATTTTTTTTACGTACATGGCGCTCTCGATTGAAAAGGGCTCATCCAAGGTTACCATGGTTGGTGTAATGAAAAACGCGTCTTCTATTGCTCCGCCTTTTTCGGGTTTCAAAAGGTTAGGATATGCATTGCGATGCATATCGCATCAAGTTCTCATAGTGCAGCTTCAGCTAGCCCTTTTCAAGGTTTTTTTTTTGGTCCAAAAGATTTCATTTGCGAAGTTAATAATTGTTTAACATTCCGTTGCTTAGCTACAGAACTTTGGCTTCGCTTTCTGACGGGTCTTTTTACTTCTTTTTCCCATTTATCGCTTTTTTGAACATCACTTTACGACTCCTGGTCTAATCCGTGGAATATG